AGGAATGCAAATAAACAGCCAGAGCAGAAAATTGGTATTTTTTTAATGAACCCGAAAAGCCATTTTTTTCCCTCTCTCTCTTCCTGCATAAATGAGATCCCCATCCTCTCGCTGCACTCTGCCAAGGTTCCCATTTTGCTGGCTGTTCCCAGTATGCGGGATGCGGGGTTCGATTGCTTTGCAAATGAGCGAGTCTCTGGCCCTCTGGCTATCGCTGCAGAGCGATTGGGGCCACCCCATTGAGGACCGGCCAGGTTACGGCGCTGAGGCAGAAGGGCAACAGCACCAATTGCCCCTTCATCTCCAAATTGTGCTTCCTTTTCTGCCCCCCCCCCTTCCTGCCCATCAGTGCATTCAGCTGACTGCCGTCTCCTTTGCTTTTCCAGGCAAATAAGCTGAGAACCAAAACGCTGCGCAACACACTGAACCCCACCTGGAACGAGACGCTCACCTACTATGGCATCACCGATGAGGACATGATCCGCAAGACCCTACGGTAGGGCCCTGGTGGGGTGAGCAGGGTGCTGAGCCCAGCATTGGGGGGGGGGGGAATGGATATGTGTCCCTTCCTGTCCCCTCAGGGCCACCCCAGGCACCCCTCCCCATCCTAGTGGTGATTTCCCAGGGGAGCTCACAGGGACCCCCACGCCCCAGCCCCACAGGACGGTCTCAGTGGTGGCTCGCAGCAGGGCAGAGCAGAGTTGTTACCCACCAAAACCTGTAACGTGCGCGCGTGCCCTGCACACATCCATCACCTCCGTGGTGACTGACGCTTGATTTACAGGGAGCCTGGGCTGGAATAGCTGGTGAGGAGCATGGTCCTGCTTTGTCATTAACTTCATAACTCACTTTCTGCGCTCCTGCCTGCGGAGGTGCAGGTTTGGTTTTAACCTCTTCATGCCCAGCTTTCACAGGCACATGTTAAGGCCTTATGGTCACATCTTGCTGAGGAAATGTCCCTGGGAAAGCTCTGGGCCCCTTTCAAGGCTGATTTTTTGAAAGAAAACTGGAGGCATCCATGAATTATTGACAAACTAAATGAAGAGCGTTTGGATGTATTTATTCTATTCTCTTGGTTTGGTTCAGTCTCTGCACATTCAGCATCTCTTGGCAGCATCTCCCAGGGGCTGGGGGATGCTACATGGGGCTGGAGGTGGGCAGGGGCAGTGTGGTGGGGCTGTGTGGGCTTGGCAGTGCTGCTTTGCAAGGTCAGACCCCCTGTGAATGCAAAGGTTTTCATGTCTCGGCCACTGTCCTACCTGGGTGAGGGCAGAGGGTGACCTGGAGCCTGTGGATGGATCCTGCCCAGGGAGGGTGCTGGGCGGCCTCAGCTGCTCCATCACCTCTCTGATCTGGGACCTCTGCGCAGGAGGATTTGCTGTAAGATCTGCTGTCAAAAAAAAGGAGGATTTTGCATCCTGCTCCGAGGACTCGGGGCTTTGTCAGCTCCGTGGCTGGAATCCGACCTTCCTTATTTGCAGGTACCCTGGGAGTTTGTTATTTTCCCCACAATGAGAGTGCAAAGCTGCCTTATAAAAGATCCTGCTCAGAGGTGAATTTGGGCAGAGCCCACCTGTTGTCTGCAATGTGCATAGAGATGAGAAATTTAGCACCGTGGATTATTTTTTCACATGGAAAATATTAGTCATGCTGAAAGTGCTGCAGGCTTGTTGGGCTGGAAAGCCTCTGGTTTATTATTATTATTGGTGGGTAATTTTTTTATTTTTTTCACTCCGGGCTTTGAAGTTTTCAGCCTCTTCAAGCGTGGAAATTGGTTTGTAGAGAGATGTTCGGCTGAGTTGTTTGCTGAAGTGCACCAGGGAGCAGAAGGGCTTGACCCCCACCTTTTCAGGGCCCTGGTAGCTGCTTCTCCCCAGGAAATGGTTGCACTCGCTGGCTCCCAGGAGGCAGCAGGGAGGTGCAGGATGTTCGATGGCAGGGGAACACGCAGAACTGTGTGTGGGCTGGGCTGGATTTGCCCTTCTCCCCACAGAAATCCTGTGTTAGCACGTCCCTGCTCCTGCCTGCCAGCCTGGTCGCTGCGGGCACTTTGTGGGGAGCCAAGCTTGGCTGTGGGCTCCCACAGGGCTCAGCACACAGGGTTCCTTGTGTCCCCTCCAAAGCTAAATGCCATGAACGGATCCCTGTGCCCTGTATGCAGGACCCCGGGGTGATGTGCAAGGACCTCTCGCTCTGCGGGGGGACATGGCTGAACAGACACAGTGTTTCTGTCTTGGGAGCTCCACAGGGAGCTCAGGAGAGTGCTGGCAAGGTCAGCTAATGGCCAATTACCCAAAGTTGCTTCAAAGGGCGCCTTTCCAGGGAGGCAAGGGAAGCCTCGGGCTCACCTGCGGTGTGGTTGCCCTGTGCAAGTTCCCAGCTGGGTGCTCTGTGGGGGGTGAAACTTCCTGCAAAGCCTCATCTGCTCCTTCAGGGGCAGCATCCCGGGGGGTTTGGCATCTCCTCGTGCCATCAGAGCCATCCATCTCGCACCTTGCATCCATCGGAGCCGCCTCTTTTCGGGGAGATTCCTGGGCTCTGCAGCACTCTGCATGAAGAGTGCACTTTGCAGCTGAGGTTTCCTTGCCAGCAGCCAACCCTGGTGAATTAGGTGATAATTAAGGATCAAAATCCTCTCTGCAAGCAGAGGAATATCCAAGCACAATTCTGACGCATTGGCATTTGCAGCGAGCCAAGGGGGTTTGCTGGAGCCTGTCCCCATGGAGGTGGTGAGCCCCACGATGACGTTGCCACGAGGGCGGCCAGTGGCTGGGAGCACCACAGGGGCCATGTGGATCCCCACCTCGCCTCCAAGCATAGTGCTGGGGCCTGGCTCTGCATCCAGGTGGAGTGGGCTCCATCCTGCAGCATTAGTACAGCCTGGTCCAGGCTGCACCGCAGCGCTGTGGGAGTGCCCAGCCCCGCTGCCCTGGCACTAATGAGGCTCAAGGTTTGGGCACCTCAGCAGCACCCATCCCTGTGTGCCTGGCAGGACCAGCCTTTTCCTGCACGGGGTAGAAGGGGGAATCGCATCGTTGGTGTTACCATGGCTGTCAGTGCGCCAAAGATGACCTAAAAGCCAGGAAATTCTAGGCTGGCTATTGTTTATTTAGAGGGGCTCAGGTGGCTCTGCCATCTCCCTGGGAGGGTTTGTGCGAGCAGAAAAGTGGAGAAGTTTGTGAAGTGGAGCTTGCTGTAGGGCTGGGGCTTGTGGCTCTGGTTTTGCCTGGAAACAACTCTGGAGAAGAATTAAAGAAACAAACTTGTGTGGAGAAGGTTTCCCAGCTGGCACCTCTGCTGCAGGACTGCCGCCTGTCATGTGGGCCATCTCCTCCCCTGGCTGTGGTGGCTCTTCCCAGGCAGTTTTCAGCCTCTTCTCTTGTGGTGACCCCAAAAAAATTTCTAGTCAGGACTCTGATCCCCTTAAAAAATGTCCCATATGTAGATGGCTGCGTAAAGGTTCAAATGAAATAACATTTCTTAGTCCCATCTCCAAACCCAGCATACTATAAGGTGGGTGCTGGGACACCCTTGGGAGACCACATGTCCTTCCCTGCCCTCGGTGCTTCCTCCCATCCCAGCCCTCCCTCGGCTGCCGGCACAAATGGCCATCGCAGCAGCAGGGCCGAGCCTGCCCTCGGCTGCTGGCCATGTGCTCAGCTGCTCTGCCCTATGGGTTTCAGAGAGTTTCAGTGGGGAAACCCAAAATCTTGCCTGTGGCCCAGGGAATTCCTCTGCTAAAACGAAGTCTCTGAGCACCGTGGCTCTAGTTCTTATCTTGCATGGGGGAGCCAGAACCTAAAATTCAGGTGCTCATTTTCCTTAAGAGCAATTCCCCAGACCCCTTTTTACTTCTCTCCGTCTCCGCGGTTGAAGATGTTGGCAAAGGAGATTTTTATTTATCCTGAGGCAGGTTTAGATGAGATGTGACTTCTTGCAAACCAGCCACCAGGTAGAAAGATCCATCTTTTATTTTAATTCCCTCCTTGGATTTTCTTCTTTTCAAACAATGAATATTTAATCGCTTAGAAAGATGCAAGGCTGGGAAATGTTGCACCTCCTCATCGAGATACATGCTGAACTGTGTCCTCGCTGCTTGGCTGGGGAGGAATCTTTGGTTTATATGAGGAGGGATAGATGGGCTGGGGTCCCTGGTGGTTCACCGAGGCTTTTTTATTATGGTGTGGGTTGGGCTGTTTCTCTTCTAGGATCCTCTCCATAAAACCAGTGGCAATGGCCCTTCACCCTCCTGGTGCTGCTTCCCGCAGGAAGCATCTCCCATTCTTTCTATTGTCCTGCCTTCGGTGCTTCACTTTGCCCACCCATCGTCTTGCAAAATATCTCCTTCTCCACCAGGAAAGCCAGCTTCAAAGCTGTGGGGACGCTGGTGTTCCTTGCACTAATCAGGTGAGGCTCCTGCAAGGCAACTGTTAGTTGAAAGAGCATGAGTGATGCTCCCCTTGGTCTGGGAGGTGGTCGTTCCCCAGGTGCCTCCTTGGTGCTGAGATTCACAGAGGGGCAGGGAATGCGATTGCAAAGTCTCTTTAATGTAAAAATAATGGCGGAGATCAAAGCTGCCACCAGCCTTTGCCTCCCTGCTGCCTGGAGAGTGTGTGATGTAGCAGAAAAGCTGGCAAAGCACCCAAAAATCTTCCCTGCCCACCTGGGCTCTTGGTGGGACGTGTCCAGCAGGGGTTGGTGGGTCAGTGTTGGCACAGGGCACTCTGCCGGTGCCTACAGCCCTCCTGGGGGGACAAGCGGCATTCACCTCATCGCAGGGGCTGGAGTAGGGGCATCCTCTGCTTCCTGGAGAGTGGAGTAACAGGTCCCCTCTTGCCTGAGCCCCCCAGCCCCACGCTGTGCCCCAACAGGCTGCCCCTCATCCCCTGCAGCCTCGTCCGAGCTGGTCGAGTGACTTTGCTGTGACAGACCCAAGCCCCAGGAGCTGTTGGGGTTCACCTCCCCAAGCAGGGCCACTCTCAAGGGAGAAGGAGAGGTGAAGGCAGCCCAGCTAATTGCGCTGGCAAGCAGGATTTTGTTAATGAATCAACCCCCTCAAAAAACACCAGATACTTCAGATTTCATGAACCACAGTAGGTGGGAGGATCTTGAAAGGTCTCATCCATTCATTGAATTAAATATCCTTGAGTCTAGCCCAAGGCTTAATAGCAATGAAACCACCCACCATCCTGAGAGAAGGCAAATTCAGAGCCGCTCGAAAGATGCTGGGCTCGGAGGGCCGGGATGGCTGGGCTTGGGAGCAGGTTCCCTGCCAGCACCAGGGGTAAATCCCACCCCGCAGCCCCCACTCCGCATCCCTGTCTGCGGGCACTGTTGCTCCCCATCTGCGGTCTGAGCACGGTCATGCCACATGGCAGCTTGGCCACTGTCTCCGGTGGTGGGAAGCCGGGGTGTGTGACAGGGGGGGGCAGAGAAATGCTGCAGGGGAAATTGGAATAGGCAGAATACAATTGCCTACATTTAAATAATACATGTAATATGCAATAAATAGATTGTATTCATAATAAATATCAGAGCTGGCCAGATATGGGATACAATTATTCATATCCAGATATATTGGCGAAGTGATGCATTATTCATATGATACTCAGCTAGCCCACGAATGCCAGGAATTTTTTGTTTAATCATGTGTTTGACAAACATCATGACTCATTAAATATATTATTCAGAAAATAGTATTTGATCAGGTCTAATAGGCGTACTGCAGACACTTACAGATTTGGGGTCCCAGATTGCTTTACTCCAGAAGCGCTGAATGAGGTTTGCTCTGGAACTGCAGGCACACTCGTAATTTCATCTAACTTTTACTATGGTTTCTGTGCTCAGACTTTGAGGCATTTTGTGACGGAGCCCAGCACTGAATCCTCCTTTTGGTTTTAGGAGACCTGGACAGTCCCTTGGATGCCACCTTTTTCTATTTTCTCTCCTTGCCAGGTGTTGCTTGTCCTTAAGCCAAGCAGGTATCACCTGCACATCTGCTCCTCCATCGAGAGCCTTCTAAGTTGCTATAGGGACCATAAGGGATCTTAGATACAGGAGATGCATCTTCAGGCTCTGCTGGCTACTATGCACACGTACATTGTGGAAAAGGGTCCTTGTTGACCCCCGTTCTCCCCTTTCCACGACAGGAGAGAGGCCGGAGGAACGTGTGTGCGAGCAGAAGTCGTGAGTCAGTGGAGCGGGGTTGCTTGAGCTGCGTGGTGAGTCAGGACTGTAACCCAGGAGCCCGGGCTGAGTAGGAGGGAGAATAAGTTTAATGAGCAATGATTGTTCACTTGCTGCTTAGTTTTCTTCCAAGGTGGTTTTCACAGCCCTTAACTTAAAGATCAGGACCCCTCAGTGGAAGCTGTCAAATCAAAAGCCGAGCTCGAGGGACTGGGTTTAATAAAGAGAGACGAGAGAGGGGTGACATTGGAGTTAAAGGGCTCAGGATGGCAGGTGAGTGTGGCTGCCAGAGGCATCTCTTGCTGCTTCTCATGGAGCTGATTTTTCTAACCCAAGGCATAAAAATTCCATCACACCGATTTCTCGTAATAAAATTCAAGCCAATGTAATTGCATTATGCCTCCCTCCAAAGGGAGGGCTGGGGCCGGAGCTGCCTGCTCATCTGACTCAACTCGCTGCCTGCACTTATGGGGCCGGTGCACTGCCAGCCTCCCCGAGTTAAAAATACCCTCCTGGTGAAGATGAACCACAGCCAGCCAGAGGGACCGGGGTTTGGGGGCTGAGTCCGAGGGACTGGGAGGCTGACATGAAACTCTGCGTCTGAACCACCTCTGATTATCACACACAGATGGGGACCCACCTGGGAGGTGGCCAGAGCTGCCAGAGGGAAGAGAAGAGGCTGGGAGAGACCTGGCGGTGTCTCTGGCTCCATGGTGCTGCTCAGAGACAGTGGCAGTTCCCAGGTCTTGCAGATGAGCCAGAAACTGCCTCCCAAGGGACCCAGTTCTGCACAAACACCTGGGCTAGCCTGGGACATCACCGGGGACAAGGAGGCTGGCCATCACCCCAGTGCTTTCTGCAGCAGGCTGGGGCTTGTGGACCCCGACACTACCCCGATTTGTCACCTTTCTCTGTTGGGGAAGTGTTTGTCCTTCAGTGGGCCACAGCTGTGGTGGTTTGGCTACTGCAGGGTGTTCCTGTGCCCTGGCTGCTGGGAAGGGAGGGCTGGGGCAGTGCAGGAGCCATCCCTGGGGAGGGCACGCAGGGGCTTGCAGCTGCCTGGGGCTGAGCTGAAGCTCTCTGAGCTGTAGCCTGCCGCACAGGGGCTGCTGTTCTCAGGGCTGCTAGCTAACATGGGAAAAAGGGGCTTCCCATGGGCTCGGTGGGGCTCTCCAGCCTCTCCCAGTGTGACACTGGAGATGTTCTCCCTGCCACCACCACTGAAGTTTTCCAACCATTTCCTTCCTGGGCTTCTGCCTATCCCGGGTGGTTCTGGGGCTTCACAGCCAGTAGGACATTGCATTCAGTATTTTGTTCTGGGGGTGTATCTAGACATTGCCGGGGGAAGAGCTTGTTACTTGTGTTCTTAAGAGGTAAAACCGGCACCAAACCCTGCCTCCCCCTGAGTGTGCAGGAGTCGGCACCACTCTGCAATTGCTGGGTGTAAAAATAGAGCCCTGGGCTGTCAGCTCCTTGGAAGGGCCACGCTCGTCTCCTCTGCAGCCCGGCTTCCCTAACTGTGTGCTTGCTTTCCCTCCCCAGAGCTTTGGCCAGATGGGTGTGGGGTTGTGCACGCCTGGCAAGTGCCGTTTCTTGTCTGGAGCTGCTGCTGCTCCTTTTTCGGTTTTGTTCTTTAAAAGAGAGGCGAGAGGAGGAAGGGAAATAGGAAATACTGTGCCTGCATTCGAGATTCTCTTTGAGAATTTTTCTGTTGCGGTGGGGTGGGTTTTTTCATGGGTATCTATAGTAACGCTGCATCCAGCTACGGTTTTCTGGAAAGCAGCATTCCCCATCTTCCCACTTGTATTATTTTTTTCCAACCCCCCCCTTCCTCTGCCACTCCCCAGCCCTGATGGTCCTTGTGCCGTGCAACTGAGTCATCCCCATGGCTCCCTCGCCACCTTGCTATTCACTTGTCAACATGAGGGTGGGCAAACTGTCCACGGATAAACCATCCATGGATAAACCCTCCAGGTGCTGCACAGGCCAGAGGCGTGGTGTGCAGTTAGTTCCTCTGAGGGAGGATCACAGGGCATTATTTATCTTTAATTACTTTTAAACACATTTAGACATCACAAGGTTCCCCGGCCCGGCTGTAGCAGCGGATTGATGCCCTCCAATGCCTGTGAAGGAGGTGTCCAGTCACTGGCCTGGGGAGTGGTGGCCTCAAAGTCATCCCCTTACTGCGGGGTACCTGCAGTGAGACAGGGCAGCCCCTTCCTTCGTGCCATTGCCTCCCGTCTCCCCGGCAGCCCTGCTCACCCTGTGCTTGTTGTAGGATCTCAGTCTGTGACGAGGACAAGTTCCGCCACAACGAGTTTATTGGGGAGACGCGGATCCCGCTGAAGAAGCTGAAGCCCAACCAGACCAAAAACTTCAGCATCTGCCTGGAGAAGCAGCTGCCGGTGAGTGGGGGGGTTCAGAGCAGCGTCCCCCCACCATGGGCCCATGGATACAGCAGCTTCTCCCTGTGGCACGTGGGAGTATGGGGTAGTTCAACCCCTCAGACATGGTCAGGGTTGGGGGCAGAGCATCCATGGGATGGGATGGGAGGTGGGTATCCAGGTGTGGCCGTGTCCCGGAGCAGCCCCCAGACTGGGTGCGTTCCCTCCCCCAGATAGATAAAACAGAGGACAAGTCGCTGGAGGAGCGTGGCCGCATCCTCATCTCCCTCAAGTACAGCTCGCAGAAGCAGGGACTGCTGGTGGGCATCATCCGCTGCGCCCACCTGGCTGCCATGGACGCCAACGGCTACTCCGACCCCTACGTCAAAACGTGAGTGCTGCTCTGTGGCTGTGCCAGGCCGGGCGAGACGCTGCCGCTGCCAGCCCTCGGTGAAGCCGTGCTGTCCCCTCTTGCCTCTCCCTGCAGTGGAAATTAATTGATCTCATTAGGAGATGCAAATGAGGGCGTCACGGCAGCAGCTTGCATTCGCCTGGAGCGTGTTATTCCCCGGTGATTATTTTACAGCGCTTCAAAGTAACGTGGGTGCAGGATCTGCCTGGTGGCGTGTGGCCGTGCCCCCCCCGTCCCGGGCCAGC